TCAAAGTGATATGAATGTAAGTATAAGGATTTTGTAATGTATTCTATATTGTATTTAGGTTAGTAATTCTTGTATTATATTATAGATATTATGAAGCATTATTCAAGGAAATGTAAACTTGTATCTTGATGAGATTGTTTCATAAATGGAAATTCAATGTAGCAAAAGTGTTTCAATTTCTACTTTGTGGTGTTCTTTAGCTTATTGTGGAATAACATGAAAAAAGATATTTATTTTTCAATAATATATATAAATAAATTTATATAAATATAATGCTTATTTCTTTTTTATTTTTAGTTACATAAAACAGCAAAAGAATATAATGAACTACTTCATAATGCTTTTATGACACATATAGGTTCACAATATAAGAGTAATCAATTAATCTTTCTAGATGAATCATCTAAGGATGAACAAATGATTTCTCAAAGATATAGTTATTCTGAAATAATTCAAGAGTAATAAAGAAAACTGTATTTCTTTGGAATAAACATTATATAATTCTACTTGCATTTAGTTTAGATTGTATAATCACTGTAACTATTATGGAAGAAAGTTATACAAAACTAAAATTTAGAGAATTTATAATTTTTCATGTAGTATGAAATATAATTATAGAAAATTTTATTTTAATTTAGATTAAAATTAATATGTATTGGTGCAATTATATAATTATAATATATCAATATGATAGTTTAAACCTGAATAAAATATATTTTTATATTAATAATAAAAATAGTTTTTTATTTTAGCTACCTCAAATAAATTCATTTCCAAATACAAGAAACATTTTAGTACTTGATAATAAAAGTATCCATTACAATGATGGATTAATTGAATATTTAAATGCATTTGGTATACATATTGAATTCTTTTCTTCTTATTCATCTAATCTTAACTCTATAGAACTAGTCTTTTCATATATAAAAAGTTATTTAAAAAGATATTATTACTTTACAGAAAGTTGTCCTGACCCAAATTATCTATTATTAGTTGTATGTTTACAAATTAATTTGTCACTTTCTCATAGTTTTTTTAATACAGCAGGTTATAAGTAAATGCTTTTTTAACTGATAATGTATTATATAGTGATGTAAAAATTATATTATATTTTACAGAATATTCACGTAGTGTTTGCCATGCACCAATTGTATCTATTCCACATTTTATAAAGTCTTTATCTAATAGTTTAGAAAGTAATCATATAAAAATTTTTTGTTGTTCAAATTTAGATAAAAATTTCTGATATAATCCATAGTACCTTCACTTTTATCTACATATGTTAAAAAATCTTTGATCATAGATAATATTGGTTTAGTTTTTGGTTGAGAAGTTGATTGAATAGGCATTTGAAAAGGCATTTAAAAAGGTATTCTATAAAATTATAAAGGAAAATATAATAACAATAGATTATAAAATAAAGATAAAATAGATAAAATAGATAAAATATGATATTATCCTAAAAAATCTGGTTGTTGCATAAAATTAGGTTGTTGCATTTGATTAGACACTTGTAATTATGATAATGATGCTTGATTTTTGTTTTTGAAGAATGTTTGTATGTAAATAAAGGATAAGTTGGCAGTTCTGTTAATGATATTATCACTTTACTCTGAATATTTAAAAATTAAATATATGTATTATATGCTTTTTATAAAAATATAAATTTATTCACAATTTCTGATACCCAAATTGAAAGCATCTTAAATATAATTTCAATATGTTTTTCCTTAGTTCTATCTTTATTCAAGCAAGGCCAATTATAAATTGTATAATGATTTTCTTGTTAAATTTCTAAAACATTTTTTGTTATTAATAATTCTGTTAGAGATAATTTTGAAATATTAAGAATGTAAATTCTATTTTTAGAATCTATATTAATATCGGCATCAGAATTATCATCAAACTCAAGATCCTAAATATATATAAATATTATGTAAGTTATATACAAAACATTTACAAATATGTAATATATATATATATATTTTAATACTAATATTTATTTTTCATTTTAGATTTGAATTAATAAATGTTATAAAGAATCTTATGCTAATATTTTTCAAAGTATATTTCTGATAGTCAGCTTGAAATTTTTTAAAGTCTCGAGCATCTACTAAATGAGTACCGGCTCCTATAGCTTTTTCAAACTTAAATGCAATACAATAATTAGTTAGTTTGATTGGTTTTGTTTTTATTAAAGTTTTAACATTTATATAAATTTCAGAAAGTAATTCGTCTACAGCTGATACTTTAGCTATAAACCATTTTGCTAAAAGAGGTATTTCATTTTTTAACTTAATAAAAATTCTATAATTATATTATATTCAGTATTCTTATTAAATAAAAACTTATTATCAACATACTCCTTATTATTATATTCCTTTTTACAATCTCTTTCATTAGACCTCCATTTATATATTTTATCAGATTCAGAAGGTTCACTTATCAAAATAATAAGATCATACATTTCAATTTTTGAAAAACTATCATTATTTATAATTATAGAATTTGGCAGATTCAAATTTAATATTGTTTTCAATTTTTTTGTCTTTAAAAACAATCTTAAAAAGTAACTATTGTACTGAGAACACATAAAAAAATTAAAAGCTTCTTTTGGATTTAGTGAGTAATTATAAAGTGTTATTTTCTGACAAACATATTCTATTTGCTCTTTTACCTAATTTGAATTGAATAATAATATAAAAGCATTTTTGACAGCTGCAGTCCAATTACCTTTATGTGATGTATTAGATAATTTGCGATTACATCTTTTTTGTTGTAAGTTAATTTTATAATACAAGCATTTTTGATATCTCAAACAGGTTCTTGTATGATATTTTAGCTTTGTTTCTTGAACATCAGCCATTATAAACAAATATCAAGAAATATTTATATAAAGAAAAATAAAAAAAATATGCTTAATAAAAAAATAAATATTAAAATATAAGTTTTATAATAATGTATTTTTTGTGTATGTTTACTGATCAAAACTATGATTTAAAGCATAATTTAATATATTAATTTACATAGATTTTAAATTTGAATTCTCTAATTAAAATTATAAAGATTTCTTATCATCATCACCACAAAAATCACAGGAGCACACCTTTTTGCAAACTACTATACTAATTGGACATACAATTTTTACTAATCAGAATTTTTCAATTCTTCATAGATATATAGAAATTGTTTTTTGAAATAGCTGCAATATGATTAAGAATACTTATTATTTATAGAAATATTTAAGTGACATAATTTTCTAGTACAATAAAAAATTATATTTTTAAAATAAAATTTTAAATATTAATTTTAACTAAATACTATCTATATTTTCAAATATATTTTAACAATCTAATTAAGAAATTGTTTAAATTTTTTTTTTTAATATTAATGGTGAGGCCATGTTTTTATCTTTATTGAATATTTAATTGGAATTTTATATAGAGTACAATTCTGCTTTTAAAATATTATAAAAAGAATAGAAGCTCAGACTAATTTATCTGTGACCTAAACCAACCAGA